CACAAACTCTATTATTATCATTATTATTATTGATGATGATTATTATTACAATAACTGCATAATCATAATTGTAATAATAACAACAACGACATAACACTGAGATCCATAGCTGTGATTAACAACTGCCTTGTCTCTGGCTGCCTCTCAAAAAACTTGGAGGCAAAGACTTTCAGCTCAGAAATCTGGTTTACTTTTGTTCTTGCAGAGCTGCCACACCCTACTTCTCATCTTCCTTCCCCAACTAGAACTGTGAATAAGGGGTAGATTTTAGTTCAGTAATCCTCCTATGTAATTATGGCCAAATATATACTGAACAAATAATATCATCTGTAAAAGAATTATTACAACAGCTTTATTCAGTATAAATGTGAATGAGTTACTTAAATGTCTAATTTTTAACCTGTTCTATGGTCATCTCTGTGGTAGCTACAATGAAAAGTAAACAGGCAACAATGGAGAAAAGATTAGAAAACATAAACCTTATAGCAAAATGGTATCTTTTTGCTCCTCCATATCTTCTTCTTCAGAACAAGAACAAAATAATTGGCACATACCAAAAAGATTTCCTTAAAGCCACTAAACAGCTCTCGCACCACTTTCCTCATTTGAGGGACCAGTTTGAAAATTCGAAGAGGTCGGAGGCAGCGGAGTACCATTAAAAGCTGAGCTCCTGATTTGGCGGGGACGTTCTGAGGCATCCAGCACAGGAATATCAAGCTTACCTTGAGGAGACAGAGCAGAAAAAAGCAAAGGAGGATTAGGCTTACAGTGTCTTACTTGACATAGACACAGCACAGAAGATGTGCTATATAAATATATAAACAAACGCTTATCTTTCTTAAAATTGAAAGGAAGATTAAGGCAAAAAAAGCCTAATTTAGAAAAAGGACTTGGAGCTCCTGTGCCCTGGCTGATTGTCCTAACTAATGGGCGTCAGCTTCAGCCTCTGTCTTCCCCTTTGACTCAAAATCTGTTTTATTCTTTTCAGCAGATGGAACAGTTCCAAAAGAAGAAATCAAATTGGCTGTTTCAGAGCAGGGACTTGAACTATATTCTTGGAGCAGGCAGCATCATCTCTCTCCCCCCTTCTCATTTCAAACAGAGACTCTATCCTGAAACTGAGACATCCTCATCTGCAAAGTCTGTTAACAGTTTCCTTGCCAGTTTTTCCTACCACTTTGTTATAGGCATAAGTAGTTTTGTCACCGTGTGATTTTTATCACACAATTATTATGCATTCGGAAGTGTTTTCAAGCAGCCCAGTTGTCTCTTGTAGCCTGAGCAATCTCTGAAAGATGGTTATTGATGATAAAGTCCATTAATTACTTCTTATTTTTTAAAAAAGTATTTATAAAGCCAATGTTACTCTAGGGGGCCAGAGGCGGGAGTGTTACAAAGAGGTAAGTGCACAAAACATGGAGCATCAAGCTGATACCACCAATAGGATTTAAAACATCACACGGTTTGTTAAAAACAACAGTGGTAAAAGGCAGCTGCCCCACCAAACCAAAAAGATTTGCCCGTGCTTCTGACTTTTTTTCATATTCTTTTAAGACCACCACAGGCACATTTGGAATATCCAAACTACACCACCTAAATTTTCCTTCAGACATGCAGAGGGATTCAGAGGGATTTCAAGAAACTAATGCACATGCTCATTATGCATACTACAGTAAGAGTTTTATATAAGTATGCATATTTTTATTTATGCTAACAATGGAATCTTTGATACAAATTGATCGTGACAAATTTTATGCAGCACATCTGTCTGGTGGATTAATCTCTGAACGATTTAATCTAAATCCATCAAAGCTATTTTGCTTAGCAATTTCTTCAGTTAGCAAATATTTCATACTGTATTATACTGAGCACTGGTTTTGACACATTCTGTGGTGTTTATTGTCATATGTGAAGGGGAAAAGGACCCCCTTCTCTTGTATTTGAATGGAATGCAAGAAATTTCCAGGGGACAAAGAAAACAGTAGGACAATTTTTTCCTGAGAACCAGTCCTGATAGGTGTGGAATATAGAAAGATGCTGCTTTGCTTTCTTTCTGCCATAGCAACACCAGCAACAAGGATGTGCCCTTCTGTCAAATGGTAGAGGCTTTTCAAAAATCTTATACAAAGCAGGAGACCTGTCAAGAGGGGAGGAAGCAATGAACAGCTAAGACATAGATAAAAGAAAGATTCTCCTGCATAAAAATATTGAAGCAACGTCAGACATTTTTAACATTAAGAAACATTTATATATCCAAAGAGATCAAAATTAAGAATGCTACAGAAAATTCTCATAAATATAAAAACTTACAAGATATATAAATATGTCCATAACTCCTCCAAAGTCCCTAATAACAGCTGTTGGCGTAAAAAACAAGCCATCTGCCATAATCTTCAGATTAAGCTCAATGCTCATGAATATTACAAAAACATATTCAGCAATCTGCAAATCAAAGCAGAGAAAAGTCACAGTCTAGGAATAGGCAGGGGAGAAAAACAAGGTGACTGTGCTTCATTAAATGTAAAATGTTTGACTGACAGTACCTGGAGTGTTGGAGCATGCATGACTCTCCTAAAGGGGGATTCAAACATCATGGAAATGCAGGAGCATATAGTAACGATGATCATGACCCAGTCCAGGTAAGTAACCAAACCCAGCAAGTCACTGTGAACAATACATAAGGATAACCATTACAAGAATTCCAAAAGTGCTGTGTCCCTTGAATTGTGTCTACACCACAGTTAAGCGCTTTCCTATGAAAAACAAGTTAAGCTGAGGAGTGCCAAAGATTTCAATATTTCAGAAATGCATACTAAAACTAAGGAAGTTACATGCAAGTGAAGAAGAAAAGTCTGATAAAAAAATCCTCTTCCTATTCATCCTCCTCCCCAAACAACTCCGTGGAAAGAAAAACCTTTTCAGGGAAAAGAAAAGAAATACACATGTGCATGCACACATACACATATACATGCATGTGTGCGCTCACGCACTTATACTGCAGGCTTATGTGACCAAGCAAAGTTACTTTTGCAGTGCTTACTAAAGCTGATGGTATTTGGTATTTTTCACAGCTCCAGTAACAGGATCTGTTTTAGAACTATAAAAAGAAGAAAAGATACAGTCATTTACATTTTATTTTAGTCAGCATTATAATTATACCATGCATCCATCACCTCAAAGTAATCAAAGCTACATTTTATCTCGGCTTAATTTTAAATGTCTGTATAAGTTCCATTCAATTCTATGCAATTTTAGTCATCATATCAACACAGCTTGTATCACTTTAATTCATGGCCTACCTGTAATTCCTCTAACAATTCCTTAAACTGCTGTTTTTTGGTGGTCTCGCTTTTGTAAGCAAGGACTTAATTTTGTATTTTGCTTGGGGGGGGGGGATAACCTGCTATTGAATTTTATGTTCCGAGGTGCTTTGTCAGGAGTCCTTTCTACAAAACCTCTTGGACCATATCCTCAGCTGACACACAAAAAATCCTTCCATGAGCCCTATTTCTTTTATTACTTTTTCAGTCATTTTCTGATTAATATTTCCAGATTCTCCATATCCGAATTTTCCTGTGCAATTGCTGTGCTTCACCTACCATATCCAAACACCCATCGGGCATCCAGAGAGAGTGAAAACCACTATGTAAGTAATAAGCATGTATCTAGGTGACATGAGTTCTCGCTCCAGCAATTAATTAAACATTTTATAGAATCCTATCCAAGAAGCCGCCCCTGCCCCAGTGGTTAGGGGCACCTTTTATCTATCTTTCAAATCCTTGTAGCAAATCATGCTGAGACAGGATCTGCACTGATATCCTGTGTCCCATGTGAGGGCTCTAGCCATTGGGATGGGAAACTGCCACCAATTCCTCGCTGAGCTTAAAGTGAAAAATGGACTGACCTAACTTGAGGCTTTACCACCAGAAGAGATGTCATGGTTATGAATGACAAGAATACAAGGTGCATACAAGGAGAACAAGAGGCATCTTCCACAGACCAGGTTCACCCACTTACACCAGTCAGTATACAGAATATAGTGGTTTTGGTGCCTTCCCACTGAACCCACTTTTGGGGCTTTCTAAGCTCCTATCTCTTCCCCACATTTGTATATAGTGACACTCTTTGGCCTTTTTCACTAGAACAAAATAGGTATCCTATCAGTTTGAAAAAGATGGGTAGAATATCTTATATGGCAAGCTGGGGGGAACAACGAATAAAGTAGGTAGGATTTAAATAAAAAAAAAAAGGCTGCTTAACAAAACCAGTTTACTCTTGTAATTGCAAACATTTTAATTAAACTGTTGATAATATAAATACCCTATTACTCTCAGGCACTCCACAATGCTAAGAGGCACTGACATGTATTTAACAAGTAGATGCAAATGCGTGTCTGTGTGTTTTGTTTTGCCGTTTTAATTTGCAACTGCTTCACGGACCAGCGAACCGCAATCAGGTTAGCGGTTGCCTAGAAAAGTAGGCACCTAACTCAAGGGTGGGCTTCTACATAGGTGGCAGAACACTTTAAGTATGGCTATTGTAAACCTGAATATCTAACCTTCCTGTTCTTCTACCTAGAAGTAATTTGCTGAAGGGCACAGAGAAAATCAATAGTAAAGCAGGTGCTGAAACCAGGTCTTCCAAGTGCCAGGCTCATAGCCTTGAGCTACCTTCTGTCTTATGCTGTCTGTCTGCAAGGTGACATGTATTTACTCTCCAAAATTAGGGTACCAGCCATAGACAGAGGTTTAAAAGCTGCTTGTGCTCTCAGCTTTTCTCCTTTTATCTCCCACAGCTGAACACCCCCTCCCATTGGGGGTCTCTAATTATGGGCTTAGGAGTCTTCAGGTGAGCACGGTGGGATTCATTTGTCTTCACCTTTTTCTATTCTTTGAGTGACTGTTGGTGTATAAAGACTTCCCGCGTCATGACAAGGAATAGGAAGGGAATAGAAAGCTGATTCCCCGAGGTCTAAAAATGGGGGTGTAAAACATTCCCCTTTCCTCTCAGGTCATGCTTGCAGTTTCCCCACAGTCTTGTCCCACCTCAGCATCGCAGAGTGCTCAGACGTGAGCATTTTCTTGCTTCCTCTCCTCCAACAGCAACACTATACCCTATGCAACTGACTGGCAGCTCGTGTGGTGACCACACTATACGCAGTTTCTCTTTCAAAATAAAAGTTAGAGCTAGATTTCTGAGGACATGAGAGCAAACACTTGTCTGAACCAATTGTTGATATGGAATAAACTTACGCATTAAAGCGAGCTCGAACCACCACTCGGCAGAAGTTCCTGAATCTGTGCTCACGACCAACTATGAAAAGTGGTTTATCAAAATATGGATGATTCTCTCGCAGCTCTTCCTCTTGGACTTTCCTTTTGAAAGACAGAACGTAAATTATTAAGTGATATGCATTATACCTGGCAAAAATATCCCTTTCACTTCATTCTTTTCTCATCATGACTCAATACTTTTTATGTCATACAGAGAATACTTAATACAGAAAAGTGTGTGCTCAGACTTTTGATTTTTAAGTACCTTTTCATTTCAGCTTGTTCTTTTTTTTCTTGGATCATCTTTATCTCACTGTCTTCTCTCTGTGCATTCCTGTATCTCACTGTGTTGGAGTGCTAGAAGCAAAACAATTCCTTTTAAACGAGGCTTGTGGGTTGTTGTTTTTTAATGATTCAGATGAAAGCAAGATATGGTATTTTACATGGAAAGGTTCAAATGAAAAATCTTTATTTCCAAATGCACTGCACATCAACTCAGTCAAGCATATTGTACAGTATTTGCTACCTACAGCACACAAGGCTGCTTATTTTCATCAAGGTTAATTTCAGGTTTAATTTCATGCGTGAAGTCCCATCCAAAGCAACTTTCAACTTTAAAAGCAAAGGTCTTGTAATCTCAGCCGACCCCTCTGAACTGGAATGAATACCATCACAGTTACTAAGGGCAAAGACTGGGAAAGAAAAGGCTTTGGACACCCTTTCAGCTTCTCAAGCCTGCTGCATGTGCTGCCAGGCAGCAAGTTGGGCAGACCACGCAGTTGGTGACCCCGGAGTGCAGGGAGGGGGGAGAGGGAGGGAGGACGCTTGCCAGAGCTCAGCCAGTTGAGGGGACAATCCGTATTACTATTCAGAGTTAAGTGAGTCTTTGGAGCACTCCTGGAGGGGTAATGCTGGGTGTTACACTTACTACTGGACACAAGAAAAGCCACATTTGCTTTAAAAGATCAGTAGCCTACAGTTTCTTTCTGCCACCATGCAGGGTAATTAATGAATTACTTCTTATCCAGTTGTTTCTAGGTATGAAGCACATCTAGAAAATGGCTATCAAAGTTTGGAAACAGGAACTAATATTGCCCTTTGAATTTTCATAGTCACAGATATCTGCTTTGAGACTTCCCCCCCACCGGGAGCTGGGGGAAGTAATTTCTGAGCCGCTCTCCATCATCTTTGAAAGGTCCTGGAGACTGGGTGAGGTGCCTGAGGACTGGGGGATAGCCAATGTCACTCCAGTCTTCAAAAAGGGCAAGAAGGATGACCCGGGAAACTACAGGCTGGTCAGCCCCACCTCCATCCCTGGAAAGATGATGGAACAGCTTGTTCTGCGTGTCATCTCAAAGCATCTGGAAGAACAGAAGGTTATCAGAAGTAGTCAACATGGATTCACCAAGGGGAAGTCATGTCTGACTAATCTGATAGCCTTCTATGATGAAGTGACTAGATGGGTGGATGAGGGGAGGGCAGTGGATGTTGTCTACCTTGACTTCAGCAAGGCTTTTGACACTGTCTCCCACATCATCCTCACAGGCAATCTTAGGAAGTGCGGGTTAGATGAATGGACAGTGCAGTGGATTGAACAGTGGCTGGCAGATAGAGCTCAGAGGGTTGTGGTTAGTGGCAGAGTCTAGTTGGAGGTCAGTAACAAGTGGTGTCCCTCATGGGTCAGTACAGGGCCCAGTCCTGTTCAATATATTCATCAATGATCTGGATGAAGGGATAGAGTGTACCATCAGCAAATTTGCTGATGACACAAAACTGGGAGGAGTGGCTGACATGCCGGAAGACTGTGCCGCCTTGCAGCGTGACCTGGACAGGATGGAGAGTTGGGCAGAGAGGAACCTTTTGAAATTCAACATGGGCAAGAGTAGGGTTCTGCACCAGGGAAGGAATAACCCCATGCATCAGTACAGGTTGGGGGCTGACCTGCTGGAGAGCAGCTCTGTGGAAAGGGACCTGGCAGTCCTGGCGGACAACGGGATGACCATGAATCAGCAGTGTGCCCTGGTGGCCATGAAGGCGAATGGCATCCTGGGGTGCATCAAGAAGAGTGTGCCCAGCAGGTCGAGGGAGGGCATCCTCCCCCTCTGCTCTGCCCTGGTGAGGCCACATCTGAAGCAGCGTGTCCAGTTCTGGGCTCCCCAGTTCAAGAAGGACAGGGAACTGTTGGAGAGGGTCCAGCAAAGGGCTACAAAGATGATTAGGGGATTGGAACATCTCTCTTATGAGGAAAGACTGAGGGACTTGGGTCTTTTTAGTCTGGAGAAAAGAAGACTGAGGGGGGATCTTATCAATGCTTATAAATATTTAAAGGGAGGGTGCCAGGGGGATGGGAACAGGCTTTTTTTCAGTGGTGCCCAGTAAAAGGACAAGAGGTAACGGGCACAAACTTGGGCATAGCAAGTTCCAGCTTAATATGAGGAGGAACTTCTTTACTTTGAGGGTGGCAGAGCACTGGCACAGGCTGCCCAGAGAGGGTGTGGAGTCTCCCACACTGGAGACATTCAAACCCCGCCTGGATGCCATCCTGTGCAACCTGCTGTAGGTGACCCTACTCTGGCAGGGGGGTTGGACTAGATGATCTCCAGAGGTCTCTTCCAACCCTGACCATTCTGTGATTCTGTGATCCAAATATGAATTTGCAGAATCGAAAATGCACTCAACTGCACAAAACTACAACACAGTGAAATTCGTGATTAGTGTTCTCCCTTTTAGTCTCTGTCCTTTTGTCTCACAGTTCTTGTGTTTGAAAAATATTGTTAAACTTTAATCGGAAATTGTGAAGTGTTGTTTTGCCAGCCTGAGTGATTTGTTTAATTCCAGAGTAAGGCTTTTTAAGGTGTCCTGGGTGGCAATTGTTGTGTTCCTCATGTATTATCTACAGCTTCAGAAATCTATGTGAGCAAGTGTTTCAAAATCAGTAAGTCTGTCAGTGAAATAACCATGTCACTTACTTTGAGGATAATTCTACTGCAATGACAGTATTTGATTTATGACTTCCTTTCAAGATTTCAATAGACAAATCATAAACAAGATCACAGAGAGACACTAGTCTTACACAAGCATTTATTACACAGTACATATTCTTATTTCTTATATTCTCAAATTGAAACCATCATTTCTATGAGGACTTACATCTTGAGTCAACGTTTCAAGAGATTTTCCTCTGCTGATTCGCTGGCTGTTGGAACCATGTCTCAGTGACCTGAAACAATCATAATCAATTTAACGATACATCTCAAGATGAAATTTTGACCTTTATAGGATGGCCATTATAAAGCACTGCTCTCCAGCCACCCACTATCTCAAATTCTTATCATTTTTCTCTCACTAACATCAGAAGCTTATGTGTTCTTCAATTGTTTTCAATCCGGTCTAACATAAGCCAATTTCTTTCCTTCTGATGTTTAAATTGATAGCTTTGTAGTTGGCGAAGGAAATGACATTTGAAATAAAAAGGCATTTTTTCCATTTATACAGTACAATGAATTTCATTATGGTTACGATGAGGAATGTAGCATTCAGTTCTTTGAACAAGTAAGTCATTTCAGTTTTTCACACGTTAGGTATTGCTCAAATTTAATTCATCACCTTTATTTTAAGAATATTTTTAAACCATCCTTTCTGTCCATGTTTACCTGCGTTCTTGTCGTATATGATGCTGGACGCTAAGTATTGACCTTTCCTTTGCAGGCTGCCCCTCAAAGGATCCGCTCAGCATGCGTTGTCTAGTGCAGGCCCTACGAAGAAATATAATGATGATGACACAGAGTTTTCAGTATAAATGATAATTTCTGAGGTAGCACGTTCAGACAAGTCAGCCTGGCTTTCTGGGAAGCAAGTGCACAGCTTAACAAACAACAATAAAACAAAAACAGACTTCCCATGAAAACATATTTTCAAGGCAACGGTCCCCACTCTGCAACATAATGGGTCATCTGATGGCCCTTCTCCATGCCTTAGCAAGGCCCACCTTTGGAGGTTTTTTCAGTTTGCTGTAGAATTTATGGTCCCTCAAGAGCTCACTAAGTGTGGAAAGGGTCAAGCAATGCACTAATCACCAGTAAAAGCAGCTTCTCAGCAAGAAAGAGAGGAATAGTACAAGTAGAGCCATCATTTTAGGGCAGCTCCCTTTCAGGGCTGCATGTGGCGAAATGTTTATGTACACACTCAAGACTTACAGAGTATCTTTGAGTGTTCTTCTACATAACTGGGACCATACAGGGTTTGAAATGAAAAGCTGCACATTGATGATACTCTGTAGAATGAAATGTCTGCTGAATGCACTGAACTTGCAGCTTTTTGTTGTGTGGGTTTTTTCACTTGGTTGCTCTTTGGTTTCATTTTGCTTTTGCTGAATATCGGCAAACACTATTTTGGCAGAAATTATTATTTGTCAGTTAATAAGTGTGCTATGGCTAAACAGAGCATGCATATCTTTATTTTGCTGGCTACAATGAAATGGATTTGCTTAAGAAAAGGAGAGGTTTCCACTAAAAGAGCTCACACAATTCTGCCAATGTCTGAGAAATGGAATTTCAACTTCTTTGGAAAAATAATTTAACTTTCCAGGAATGCTGCAAGTTTAACTTTACACAGTGAACAGCTTATTGGTCATTTTGTGCTATGCAATCATTCAGAGAAACTCACACAAGACCCAGCTGGTAATATTTCATACTTTTTAATGAATTGAATCTCCAATTTTTTTGAAAACACGAAAAAAAACCACCATGCTATTGGCACGACCACTCTATTCACCAGTCTTCCGTAAGGCTTGGATAAATGCTATTCTTGATGGCATGGGATGACCATGCTTGATGGCAAAAGGCATCTCAGGCGCATTCTTTTCTCACTATGACTTTGTTTTTCACTCTTCTTCACTATTTCTCCTTCTTTTGGGTTTAAACGCACCAATGATAGGAGTAGGGATCCAAAGTGAGATCTGGAACAAAAATGAGAAGCTTAGAATGCTTGTCAGTGGCATCACTGCCAATCATACTAGCATGCTAGAAAAATACATTTTGCTATACTCATTATTGCATTAGGTTACACTACACTGAACTGAAGCATCATGCCATTTAAGAAAATTACTGTAGATCTTATAAAACACAGGTTATGTTAGCTAGATCATGAATATTTTAATGCCAATGGATTTTAAGCATTATGTTACGGAGGATGATACTACATAACACTGTCAGAAGACAACAGAGGTATTATTGGAATACCTGTGCAATTTCCTTGTAAAAAAAAAAAAAAGATAAAAATTAGTTTCTAAAAATAGATCCTATTTAACTCCATTAAAATGACAATCCATTTTTTTCCAGCAGAGACAATGGGGAGTTTTGGGGTCTGACTTCTATACAGAGGCTTCTTGCTGTGACAAAGAGGGTAATGTATCTTTTTTCCTGTAAATATGAATTATTGTGCTCTGCTTTTAACAGAAATTATTTTCTTGACATCAAAAAGTGACTTGCACATAAATTTTTCATGTCCTTGTACACAGGTTACTTGAATACCATGTTACTTAAACTCTTACTGTCTGTAATAAAAGACAATATTAACTGCTCAAACAATAAATTCTTCACCTGATAAATGAACAAGATGGCTTATTTGATTCTTAATGGTATAATAAAATCTGCTTAACCATATACCATACAGAATTGGCATACAGAAAGGGTAGCACCTGTAGAAAGACTGCAGCTCCTACTGGACTCAACAGAGAAATAATGAAATGAAATGCCATTTGTATAGCACAGAGATCAGAAATTGTTATCAAATAACTGTAAATTTTTATTTTTTTTTTTGTATTTCCAGAGACAAAGATGCTGTGCTAAAAAGGCTGTGGCTACTTTTGGCAGCCTCTCTACCAGCATAAAAGCCACTCTTTGTCTTCCTTTCAACTCAGGAACTGGATGTTTTTCAGCTGTTTAGACACCCAGAGTTGCAGATCTTCAGGGACTTTTGAAAAAGAAGGCAGGTGCCATGAAGTTTTCAGAATTGCAAAGTTGTCTATTTTAAAATCTTTGGTAGGACTTGACTTCTTATTGTAGACACGTACACTTACATGCTTTTTCTCGGTGCCTACATGTGTCCAGCCATGTGTCCAGGCTTCCCTCATAATCAGTGGAGGTATAGGACTCAATGAAATTGGTTGTACCAAGGTGGCTAGTGCCATCTGCATTGCCTTGGAGGATTTTGCCATGTTTCCAGCTGCTGCTCCAGCAGGGTATGCATCCCCTACAAATTTCTTACCTGCCATCCTCAAGAGGATGTCTTGGACATCCTCTGGTATCTCATACATTATGAGATGTCCATATGTGGGCAACTTCATTGAATGCTTGGTCCATTAATTTAATTAATGATGTTTGGATAATATCCAAGTAATCATAAAGTGGGCATCTAAAGACAAAGCATTTAGCCAAAGATCTCACTGGACTCCACTGTCTGTCTTGACTAGACCTCTATCAACTTGATGACAGTTTTAAGACTTGGCTCACGAGCAGATCTGGTAGTCTGGATGTGAATCACACATCTGGGACAATCACTGTGTCACAGTGTTAAAAATTCAGTGGTTTGCAAATTAGAGTTCAACATAAATGTTTTCTTGACTTGATACGTGTTCACTTAACTGTAGCTGGTCAGAATCCATTGACCTTTCTTTGAACAATGCAGGCAAAATTCCCTTTTTTTTTAAAGCTAGAATTGTCCTTCCCATCTTCCTATACCACCCCTATGAAATATTAGATAGGTTCATGTTCACTTGTGGAGGAAAGAGGAAGTTATGAAACAAAGGAGAAGAGACAAGAAATATGTCAAACTCCTGGACTTTGTAGTTGCTGAACTCTGAACACAGTCCAGCAGCTGCAAACTACATGCTATAAATTTGCCTTGAGAAGTACAAAAGGAATAAAATATCCTGAAAATGAAAATGTGATTTGGTAGGTTATCAGAAAGTCAGGCTACAGGTTAAGACCATACAGAGCAATACTGTATTGGAATACTACGTAGTTTGTATTACCTGCAAACAATTATGAGGTTCAAACATTTGAAGTCCTTGAAAATCTTTCATGCTTTGGAACCCCTGAAAAATAAGTAGTGAGCAGAGTGTTCAAGTAACATTCTTTGAGCTAGTGCAAAACATTAAATGTTTTGATCAATACTTCAAAATACTGTACCTTTCATGAATATTATGAGGTGTCTTGCAGCCGGTATGCATATGGTTCACTCCTGGACTTTTTAGGGAGGCATCCTTTCTGCAACAAGTGTTTACTCATCTTGTGCATCCCAATATAACACTGATTTGATGTTTTTCTGTATTACTTTAATGAGTGAATAATTATGTGTTTTGTAGTAACAGCATACAATACCGTGTACTTTAGTTCTTTTTCCCCCTGAAACATGCTAATACTGAAGTCTTAGCAGTGTGGTACGCTTCAGTAAAACACACAATTACCAACATGCTTCAGCACTGTTTTCACTGTGACTCTCTACGCTTCCTAAATCTTTCTATGCTCTCACTATATTTCCATCTAACCTGCAAAATATGGTTAAATGTGACAACCTAATTTTCATGGTGAATCCACCTGATAGGTGTTCTAGTGTTTCTCTCCTTCATTTTATATATTTAATTCAATAAGGCACTGTTTGAATAGCAAGCAAAAATCACATTTTCAGCACAGCTACACTACTCTTCTTGGGGAAAAATATACTATTATTTAAAGAAAACTGAATTTGGCTGGTAAAATAAAATGAATTATTAATGAAACTTGGATAATTCACGTTTTTTCTTTTCTATGTTTTTTTCTTGTTTTATTCCATATGTCTCTAAAGGAAAAAAAAGTCACTTATTTTCTTTAGTGTCTGCTCAGTTTGTTGAACTACAGTAGCATACTTTCTTTCCTTTAGACGTTTTGCATTCTCATTGTCATTCTTACTTTGCTGTTTCAGCTTTTCCTCTACTAGATGTTTGTATAACAATTATTTATCTTGGATTACAGAAGAATTGAAAGAATCAATGGAGAAGAAGGAACCTCGAAGGAACCTCAAAGAAACATCTAGTCTATCACCTCTCTCAAAAGCAGAATCAATGATATCTACACTATTCTGAGTTGATGTTGTCTTAACTTCCTTTTCCACACCTGCAGTGTTGGGGACTCCACAGCCCACAAACTCAACTTCACAACAATGCTTTACGGTGATCTATAACATGGTGGTCACTTGGCACAAACCCCATGAAACAGAGTAATTTCTTACCAATGGATATGCGCATTCTAGTATTTATTTCTGTTTGTCTTTGCAGGAGGCAGGTGAAATCAAATGATGTCATGCGCTTGTGGAGATTTAAGAAGATGGTGACTAAGTCTAGATTTTGCTCCTGATGACAACAATCATCATCTGAGCTTAACTAGAATATTTGTTCTGAGAAACGCATGGTATCAAAGCCTGGAACCTCATAAACTGAGCTTACCTGGAACATTCGTTCTGAGAAATGCATAGTATCAAAGCCTCACAGTTATGAAGAAAGAAATCATACTCTTAAGAGAGAAAACATTAAATATATGCAGAGAAACTTGTTGTAAGTGATTTAGAACTCACTAATAAAAGTCAGTCATTTAATGCAGGTAAATTTATAATAAAGGGTATCAAAGGCAAGCCTTCTGTAATGAAATGACTGGCTATGTGGACACGTGAAAAGCTATATTAGACACACTGAATGGTAGAGTATTAAGCCAGAAAGATC